CCAATTAATATTCTTTGGAATCATAGCAAAAAGAGAAAAAAAAAAAAAAAAAAAAAAAAGAAGAGAAAGTTGGAATGTTTGGAGTTTTGGATACTGGGAAGGTTCTGGACAAAATATTTCTGGTTGTTCAGAGAAGTAGCAACTGGAGATGACTAGGGGATTGATGGTATACTGGGTCGTTTAGAGAGAGAAAGGAATATGAGTTTTGGGTTGGTTTCAGAGACAAAGGTGGCAATACTTGTTTCCAAAGTAATGATTGCAAAGAAGAGTCTCTGGTTTAGGTCTAAATGGATGCGGTATGTTGGTTTTATTAATTCTGAATCATTCTTGCATGCCATTATTATTTTTCAGCTCATATTTGTAGCATATTTTATTTTATATGCTAGGTTTTGAAGATATATATGTATGAAAATCTGTCTGCTCTATGGTTTATTTTCAGCTTATGTCTCCACTACCGTTATCTTTCTCTCTACCATTTTAAAATTAACCTTGATTCTATGTTCTTCGATTTTTTTTAGCAGCCTTACGGTGTCATGATCATAACTTTTTTGTATTTGTTATGTTGTAAAAGATAGTTGGCGGTCTTGGTAGAAGAAAACTTGGTTCATTCGGTGATAGTACAGGCCTAGTCAATTATAATGGGGTAAAGTTTAGTCAAAACCATTCTCTTTCAGGCATTGATTGTTTCAAATATCCAACATGCAGACAGTGGAGCCTTCAACGAGCAGGATTGCAGGCAAGGAATTTGAAGGTAGCCCATTTACTTGTTTCAGGTGTTTCATGTCTTTGAAGATTGTATTTGAAAGATTTCTCTTTGTACTATTGCAACTTACAACTGATGAAATTATCTCCAATAAAATGAAATGGTCAACAAATATTTCAGGGGATGAGACACTTGAGATAAGAGATAAATCTAGTGAACTAGACAGAAGAATAGAATTGCATGCTTTTGAAAAAGAGACTAATCACAATGAAATACGAAGTCTTCTTGAGCACCTAAATTTATAGCTTTCATTTGTACTGCAGTCATTGAGGTCTAATGTTGATGAGGTTTTATTACCGGAGGTGAGCAAATGATCTCTTTTCATTTGTTTATGTTAGCTTCATGTGATTATTTCTGCAAGATTTCTTTTTCTTGAAAAAGAAACAAAAGCAAAAGTATTTTTGTAGCTTTCTATTTCCATGAAAATTAGGTAATTTAAACACAACATGACACTCCTTGTCATTCAGTTTTATTGTCCATGATAGGTTCTTTGCAAGTGAAATAAGACCTTGCCCTCATGTTTATTACTTTGAAAATACAAAGAAAAAAAAAGGGGGAATGACAAAAAAAAATAAGAAGGGAAAATGGAGGATGGAAGGAGAGTGTTAGAGGTGGAGGTGGCTAGTTCAAATCCTGGGTTATTTTCTGAAGGAAGAAAGAGTAATCAAGTTATATTTATGACAGTACAAGGAATGTAACTTTTGTGTTCTTAATCTCTTTCTCTCTGGTCAGTAATTCATGAATTTGAGTTATGAGATTTTCTTACGTCATCTTTTTGTTTAAAATCTGTTTGTTTATAGCATAAAATAACTTGTGAGGAATATTTTGAGAAAGATAAATAGAAGTTAAAGCTTTGTTTTGTTAACATGTTTTGATTGAAGATTCAAGTGTACTTTCGAATTATTTAGAACCATTCTTGGTGTTGTCACCATACTTCGCATTCATTTTGAGTTATCGATTACCTTTAAACCCTGCTATTTGTGATGCACTAGGGTGATGGAAGTTCTACTGACAATTTGCATAAGCTTTCTGATGCTTGGGAATTCTAGGAAAATGCGATAATGAATGCCCATGACAAGTTGCAGTCAATACGGGCAAGGTTGGTGGTTTTAGAAGGGAAGATGGCATTGGCAATAATGTAAGCGTTACTCATGTTAGTTTTAAAAGATACCTACCTTAATTTACTTTAAGGGACATTTGGTTGGGATTATTTTCTCTAGAAATTCTTTCTCTCTTAGAATCTAACTTTTTGTTATCTGATTTCTTAGTTTAGTTGGAAAACTTTCCCCGTATCAGGAATCTTATATTACCGATAGTGTTAAAAAAAGGGAAAGTAAGGGAATAAAAAACTCTTCACTCCCTAAGGTTTTTAGATTTCGGAGAGAAAATGAAAATTTTGCTCCACTTGCCCTTAGTTGCATTTTTAGACTACATGGATAATATTATTTACTTTATAAATGTAGTAATTTTATATGTTGCTTTTTATTTAATCTTTAGAATTCAACAAAGATAGTGTTTTTAAGATAAAAACGATCTTTGTTGAAAATATAAAAAAAAATTTATTTTTTAGAATTCAACAAAGAGGACTTTTTTAAGATAAAAATATCATTGTTGTTGAAAATATGAAAACAAAAATATTATAATAAAATTTTATTATTTCATATAAAATTTATTATTATATATATTGTATGTGCAATAAAACCTAAAATACTTACTTAAATAATTAAAAAAAATAAATGAACAATTTACATGTCAAATAAATAAAATTTTAAATAAATCACTTGTTTATTCATATATCATTTACAATATTATGAATGTCACATATTATTCACGTATCCTCAATGAGAATATATTAAAAGATTTTATTAGATAATTATACTTTAATCAAACACAAAAATCTTACGTTACTTAAAGTCAACAAAACCCAAAAATTACATATCCTCTTCAACATCACTTTCCTCCGAAATTACTTTTTCTCCGAATCTAAGAATCTCAAACCAAACATCCCTTAAAAGCATTACATTTCCACATTCCTTTGACAGAAATGCACAAAAGACGGTGGAAGAGAAACTGAAAAGGATTGATGATACTTGTAGAGCTTTACAACTTCTTCGTATTGCTTGCATAGTGTGGCCTAATTCTGCATCAGAAGTGCTGTTAGCAGGATCGTTTGATGGGTGGGCAACCAAGGTTTGCTTCCACCTCAAATGGATTAGTCTGAATTGATAATAGTTTTCTTGATCAGTGCATTCATTAATTAAAGTGATAGTCTTGAGTCTTGTTGATAAAGAATTATATGGAGTATTTAGAATATAAAAAACTGAGACAGCTACCCTGTTTTTGCTTTCTGTGGCTCTCTGTTGCTTTCATAGTCTTGTTCTATCAATAATTATGTTGATGGACTTTAGGGAAAAAAAAGTTAGTGATACTTTCTGGGAAAAAAAAAAAGCACCAAAGTTAGACCCACGAATTCATTTACTAACTGTGCAGGTACTTGGCGAGGCAAATAAGACGTTAAACAAAAGATGCGGTTAAGCATTTTATTGTGGCTGATACTTAGAATTACTTTATGTGCAGAATGCTTCAAATACATGCAATGACTGCCTCTGATGGTCCTTACTTCTTGATAAAGCTTTCTTGTGCTTACTTGGTGTGCACACCTTTCATCGAGTGCCTATATGGTTCACTTGCTTTTTGCCTGCAATATACTTGTCCGCTGCTCCTGCTTCCTGCTTGGAACGATGAGTGCTCACCGTCATCAACTGTTTGTTTCTGCCGGGCTCCTTTTCATTGTTTGAGCCATAAGGCCCATACCCTATTGCTTTTAAAATCTGTGTTTTCTGTGTTTTAGCTTGTATGTCATTATAACACGAAGGACTGCATTCAATTTCTAAAGTTCTATTTTTTTCCATTTCTTTAGAGTGGAGTGTCAATGTATTGGTTTGACCAAAAAAGATAGTTATGCTTGACATGCATGCTATTATCACTGAGCTTGGCATCCTTTTTCTTTTCTTTTTCTTTCTTTTTCCTCACATCCATGCATTTAGTCAAGCAAGAGTAATTGGTATCTCTACTTTTCAGCTCTAATTTTGGCACTGGAAATGGTAAGGATTCATGCTTTGATTTCCAACTTGCAAGGATTAACAATAGTATTTCTGTATTCAAATCATTTCATTTTTAGGGTTCTGTAATTTGCAAAGAACAATGATCTGTTGATATTTTACGATAGCATTTTTTACCAGTAGTTGGATCTCTTAAACTAAATAATCCCTTGCTTTTGTTGTGTTACTATTGTTTAAGATAAGCAGTCTGTAGCCACTACTAATATCAATGTCTCTTTTACGTGAGAGGGCTTCATTTCTTCTCCCTTTATCATGATGAATACTCATTTTCGTATTCTGCATTTAAGCCTCCTCATGTGAGAATTAACAATTTAATATGCCTGTAACTTTGTCTCCTCTATGTTTGGTACCTTACGATCATATAGTGCAGAGAAAGATGGAGAAGTCAAGTGCTGATGTTTTTTCTGTACGTTTGAAGCTGTATCCAGGCAAATATGAAGTAACTTTATTTGAGCTCAAAATTGTTAAATTAATTACATGATGGATGGTCAGCTCATTTACCTCGTGGTGTAGATTAAGTTCATTGTTAATGGTGAATGGAAGATCGATCCCTTGCGCCCTATTGTTAACAACGGATATGAGAACAATCTACTGATTATCATATAAGAAGGCTTAGATCTTAGAGGCATGCAACAGTGAGCATGGCAAGATATTTCATCATGAAGACAATGTAGGAGTAAATGCAAGCGATTTTTCCTTTTACTTTTCCATTTTCCTTCTTCTAAACAAGTAGAATAGAGCCGTTAGAAGATGATACTTTCTAATGATTCTTCATCTAAAGGGGCATCATATAATGGCACACAACCAGACGAAAGGACCATCCCAATACCCTTTCTTTTTTTTTTTTGTTTTCTATCTTGTTGATGCGAACATATATGTGAATAATGAGATGATATCATTTTGATCATTTAAACCAATATAAATTCTTGTGATCGGTAATACGTATTCGAAGAGATGCACAGATATCTGCTGAGCTCTTTGCATCAAACATTGAATTTGTTTTAAGAAAGAAATCCACCCCGGCCCAAGTTATAAGAAAAGAAATCCACCTCCTTTGTTGGCTTTTCTGTGATCGAAGAGCAAGTGCTTCGATAATGTATCAGCCTACTCACTTGTGTTGTCTAAATAGAGTAATATCTAATTCATTTAACCCACATTTTGTCTTCCTATATACTTGAGTTCATAAACGCTCTTCATTCATAAAAACATATACCAAATGCAAATAAATTTTCTGGCAGAATTTCAAGATATATGTCAAGGTTTCCACCAGAAGTAACTTTTTGACTACACCTTCAAATTTTTTATAGCACAAATTCTTGCATCTAAAAAGTCAAGGATGGTTGACAGAACTTCATGGTTGCATCAGATTCAGTGCATAAGAGAAGCAAAATTCACCTTGATTAGAGAAGATTAAGAATAACAGTCGACAATTCCAGGGTAGCCAATTTCTTGCTTTGGAGCTAAACTAATGCTAACAGTGTATGATACCTAAAGTGGAATCTCATATGAACAAGGTACAGGCTGATAGCATATTGAATATAACTATCTGTTTTATATGTTACCAAAAAAAAATATATATCAAAGCACATTATCGGGAAACTATGCCTGAAAGTTCCACATACTCTGGACACTTAGTTTTGGCGTGTGTAAACCCTCTGCCAGATTGAAAGATGCTGAAACCTAGAAGGTCAAAATTTGGAGCCTCAATCAGTTGCAAAAAACAAAAAAAAAACAAATCATTAATCAAATTAAATAACTTGACTAATTCATATACAATTTCGTAAAGGAAAAGAAGCTTTATATAGCGATGGGTGCACAGGAGAGAAGTTAACAATTTTATCAATAGCTTGAAAAGTTATCTACAGCATCAGAATGGTTCCACAATAGAATGAAGACTCCAAAATATTTTTTTTTTCATCAACAGTTATAGTCTTGCAGATATCAAATCAACCTCACAACCTCAATAAGTTCAACTTGATACTGCAGAAACATAACTCTAAGCAAATAGAAGTTAGGAAATATGTCAGCTAACTTAGCTAGAAAAGTCCTTTGGTGAATATACCAAAGAATTAAAAATTGAATATTTGAATGCACCAAGGGAAAGGCTACCCAAGTCAGCCCTTGCTCAAAAGTAATGCAGAAAACTTTCAGAAGAATCATTTCATAACAGATGAATGGGTGGCCTAGAATGCCCCATAACCTACCTAAGTACCACATACAAAACGATAATCATCCCTTTAACTGCTAGGGGAAGAACACAATAAGCAATAGTGTCGTAGCACTAAATCTGGTCAATTTTGCAACAATGCACGATAAAAAAGAGACCAACATCTTTTTGCCATAATAATATAAAAGAAAAAAGACTTTGGACTGAGGTTTAAATAAAATCTGTGGGCAAATAACAAGAAAAATATTTAAAAAGTCAAAAGTAAAATTTAGAAGTCATGACAATGAGTATATGATCAACCTATGTTGGTTCTTAAGATATATTTCAAAGGCCGGGCAAATGGATAGATGCAGGCTATAAGCGATGTAGATTGCAGTTAATTACACTTATAGAAGCAAGCTGGTTAAGTATACCACTATGGTATGCATGTATCCTTGTTATAAAAGTTAGCTACTCTTCAGTAATTTTGAAAACATTGAACAACATCACTGTCCTCTATAGATTTCTCATACTCCTTAGGCAATTTGAGTTGAACTATCTTTAGAATTAGCTACTGTAATCAAAGAGAACCTGGCACACATCTAAAACCCACACTACATTCCAACATGGGAGAAGAATTCTTCTTATCAACTGTGGAAGTGTGAAGATGTTGTACTACCAGAAATAAAATGATCAACCTAGCTACCACAAATAAAATGATCAACCTAACTTAAACTCAAACCCATAAACCAAAAATCCAAACCAATGATGTACCTTAATCCTTCCATCTTCATTGACCAATGAGCTACACGACCACTCCACACCCAAAACCCTACTCGATGTCTCATAGGTGGCTTTGATTAGATCACCACCTAGAACTCTCCTTGACACGGCTAAGTCCCAAGACTTCTTGGCCAAATCATAGCAGGGCTCAAACGTTGTCAGTCCTCTATGCACATAACTGTACTTCAACTTGCAGTTAACAGAACCGAGCTCATGGCTTGCGGATACCTTGTTGGCCGTATCTAACAACAGGGTCCCGTCCAGTACTGTCCGGTTCTCATTCCTCCCATGAGAGTATGTCCAATTTACCTGTTTACCCTCCACTTTCAACGTGTTCATGAACTGAAATTGAACATCCTGAATAGAAAAACGAAGGCAAATGAAGCATCTTTTTTTGACACACATTTTGGACACAAAAAGATTGCATTTTTTTACAAACATTTTTGTCAAACGAAAAGATTGCAATTTTGAGGGGAAACAGAGAGGAAGTTATCACCTTTTTGGAAGTGTCAAAGTCGATGATGAAAGAACCAGGCTTCTCAACAGAGAGTAATAGGTCATCAAGGTTTAAGGTGGAACCATCTGTGAAATTGGTGTCTAATAGGGAAGCTCGGAGCTTAAGCTCTCCTGGGTTGGCTGCCAGTGTTGCAGTCAAGCCCTTCTTGTCGCCGTTGGTTCCTCCCATGAATGACACTGCAGCATTCATTATCTTTTTCTAATATTCTTTTCTTGTTCCCAGACCTAAGGATTTTTTTGGTGGGGGGGGGGGGGATTAGAGTTAGATTTGCCGGTTGAAGAGGTCGATTTTGTACTTTTAGTGGTCTTGGAAGTTTGAATCCTTTCCAACGACAGCCCTCTGCAAATTAACAAGCTGCCATGCGAAGGGATGAAGTATTATGTGGTGATTCACGTTTTGGGCGCCACTGTGATTTCCGGACCTAGGGTTTTTTTTTTCCTTTCTTTTAATGTTTTGGGCTATCACTTGAGACTGAAATCACTACAGGGCCTAGGTTTTGGAGGAACTTGGTTTGGTTCGACGGCTTCGGTGAGAGAGTACTGCGGAAAAATAAAGTAATTGTCTGGTCGAAGGATTTAAATTAGGAATAATAATAGAACGGATAATTATTATTTTTAAGGTATTTATATTTGATTTTTTTTTTTTAATTTTCATGATATTGAAATTCATTTAACTATTAATTTAAACTTAATATTATTATCTGAATTCGTATCTAATTAAATAAATATTATTTGTTAAATATTTTAATTTATTAAAATATATATTTAATTTTTAAAAAATTTAAAATAAATAAAATTTAAAATTTAAGTTGATTTTTAATTAATAACAAATAAAAGTCATTTGCTAAAGTCTGAATTTTCCATAAATATAAAATTTATATATTATATATATAAACATATAACATATTCAAATAGTCATTATTATCCGTTAAAAAATTTAAATGCATTCAAGTATTGAATAATTAAGGAAAACTATCTAAAATTTATTCAAATCCATTATAAATAGTAAATTTACTATTTGAATCCGTAATTGTCTCTTTATAAGTATTCAAATCTAAAATAATCATATCAAATAATGTCAAATGTCTATTTATTTACTATTTTTTACTCTCTCTATTTTAAATTCACTAAATCTTATTAATTATATGAAGTTTACTTTATTACTTCAATAAACGTTCAAAATAAAAGAGTAAAAAGTAAATGGCCCACTTACCCAAAAAAAAAAAGTTAAAAATCAATAAGGAAGCATGATAACAATTAAGATCGAGTTGGATTTGGTTTAATTTTTTTAAAAATAATATATAAAATTATAAATTTTTAAAATCTAATCAGAATCCAAATTGACCTTTCATATGATTCGAATTAAACTGAATTTTATTAGTTTAGTTCGGTTTATTGGTTTTTGAAATTTAATTTTTTATTTTTTATATATTATTTTAATATAAAATTTTAAAATATTTAAATATATTTTGATATAAAATAATTATTTTTTATTTTATAAAAATTTCAAATATATAAAAACTAATAAAAATATATAATTTAGTTTAATTTTTTTTTTAGTTTTTCACTTTTCAATCTAAAATCTGATCTAAACCTAATATCCACATTTAATATCCACATTTAATTTGAATCAAATAAGAAAAAAAATACATATCCAAATTGAACTAAATACTATGGTTTTGAATCAATGTTCAATTTTCTCAATTTTTTCTCATAATTTTACATGATACATTTAAATAATATATGACACAGTAATAATTGCTTTATTTAGATAAGGTACATAATAATAGGGTGTACTTGGTAGAGTTCACCTCTTCCTTCTTTGGAATGTTACCAAAAAAATTTGCTCATATTGAATATTTGTAGCAATGGCAAATCGCATAACAGCATGACAAATTTTTATGCTTAACCAGATACATCAAGGTTAAGAAAGGGAACATAATGTCCTTGTGGTGTGTGTGTATGTGTGTGTGTATATAAAAGATAAATTTTACTCATTTCAATATACTTTTGACTATCTTTTAGGCTATCTACATAATATTTCCTCTTTAAACTTTTTTTTATTTCCTTTTTTTTTTCTCTTTTTTCTTTCTACATCTTTCTCTCCTCATTTTACTTACTCCACCATTAGGTTTTTTTCTTATCTTTTTCCTTTTTTTTTTTCTCTTCATGTCCATTTTTTGATAGATTTATTAAAAAAATCTAGCATTATCTCATCCAACCATCAACACCATCATCATTTTATGAACTATGTTTAATAGAAATTAAAAAAAAAAAAAGAGTTGGGTGAAAGGAAAAAGGGAAAAGAGAAGAATTGAAAAGAGCCAACAATGATAGAGATTAAAAAATAAAAAGGTTGGCGGTAGATTTGGTCAGATTTAATCTCTTTGAGGCAATTTTAAGCTAAATAAAGGTTGCATCCAAACTTTATACGTTAGATTTGATGATTTTTTTAATTTTATTTTTAAGTTTTGACAACTAGAAAAATGAAAAATGAAGGGAAAATGAAAGGAAAAAAAAAGAGAAATAAAGTCTTCCTTTTTTGCTTAAATTTTTCTTTTTGGGTTTAGAATCAATGCAAACCCATTTTTTTTTTAGGTATTTTTTTCTATGGTTCAATTTTTGTTTAAACTTATTCTTTTAAAAACATTTATGTGCCTCATGTTTCATTGATTCTTCATACAGAATAATTATATTTTTTATTATGTAGCATGGATTCTGATCAACTGCTACATTTTGATGGATTTCAATAGAAATACTGGTAGGTTTACAGGTTCTATTTGTGCCAATGATGTTGATTCAATCACTCAAGTTACTAGTTTAGACTAGAGTGAGAAAACTGTGATTTATGCTCATAGATCAAGTAATTATTTGTTGTTTAGATGTCCTACCACCTTTGCACTTTGTAAAGTGATAAGTGCCCATTGGATTTATATGGATGTTTACCTGTATGATGTATTAACTCAAAGAATTCATACTTTAAAAATGCTAAAAAAATGCCTTATGAGTTTCAAAAAAGGTGGTATGGTTACCTAAAGGTGCTTCAGTGCCAAAAACTTTTAAAGCTCTTGAGTATGAACTATTCCATTTCTATTTATGTTGGTTTATTGATTTTTTTTAAGCTTCAATGTTTTATATGGCATATAAAAGATTGTGAAATTGAATACATGTGCATTATTGTATTTATATGGTATATTGTTTTTAATAATTTTCTTATATTATTAAATTGAAATTTTTTTTGGGATCTTTTTATAGAATTTTGAACCACCTTTTTGTTTGTTATGCAAGAGAAGTTGAGATTAGCTTTTATATGATTCCATTAGTCCCATTAGTTTGCTAGCTTTTACTAAGCTGCAAATATATTTTTTAAAAATATTATTATGGCTTTGCTTTGAATTTTATGTTCTTTTTATATTGGTTGCCAAGTTTTCTTTTTTTTTTTTTAATATTGGGGGAAGATTGAAAGTCTGTTTTTATGTAGCTTTGTGATAATGAAAGAGAGGTCTAAATTATAATAAAAAAAGAAATATCTAAATATAATGGAGTATTATACATTGTGTTAAAAGGTTGAGTAGGGTATTAGTGCTTTCATGCTCCATGCTGTCTGAATGCTTTTCAGTAAGACTATTGCAATTAAAATTCTTGATTTTAACATAAAAATTGTGATTTGGTAATTCCTTCATTCTAATTCAAAGACAAGAAATCGAAGCTTTTGATTGTATTTGAAATCAGCATCTTCTCTAATTTCACTTTTTTTAACCCTTTTAATTTTGTTAGTTTAAAGTAAATGGATTTATTGTATATATTTTGAAAATGAAACAATTTCGGTATGTGAACCTTTTCAAGTTTGTAATTTTTATTGTGTAGTATATTTTTTATATTGAAAAATAGTAGGACAAAATTTTCTGTTGTGCTCTTACAATTGTAACTTTGGCAATATAGGTTTGTTTCATTTTTATCCATGAAAGGAAATATGCATCTTAGATCATTAATGGGCCTAGATCAAGTTTAAATTTTAGCTATTGATTGTGGGGCTAACCCATAATTTCTATTCATTTTTACACCAAAAGATGAGTTTAACTATCCAATAATTAAGTTAGTTGGCAAATGTAAGGGGTGGTTTGAATATCAAAAAGCTAGTGAAAATGAGTTGGTTTACTTCTGACCTCTTAGTAATATTGTTATGGTAATGGATGTCTTATGTGGCCTCTAAGAAATAGTAGTATGGTTTTAGGGTAGCTTAGGTGGCCCTTAAATCAAATGCTAACTAAAATTTTCAAAAATATCGCTTGTTTATCACTTATCAGTGTTCACATAGAGAAGTTTCTTTGATCATTTTGGATTTATTATGCATGAAACAAAAAGCAGGTTTCCAATAATTCCTAGAATTGCCTTAACCTAACAAAATTGTATCAAAAGATGGCATTGTATTTGTGAAAGCTACTTAGTGTCTTTTTCTTTTCTTTTAGGTAAAGCAACTTGGATATATGGCTTTTATCTCTCTTTATTTTAATTGGTTATTTAATCCCTTTTCATCATGGTTTTTTGCCATATTATAAGAGTAAAACAAACTAAGCTATATATGATATATGATATATACAGCCAACCTTATTATAATTTTCTTGTTGGTGTAACCCTCAAATTTTTTTGTAGTGGAAGCCTAAAAAAAAGCCAAAAATCTAATACTTCTATTATTTTAGGTGATATGTAGTAAAGTCCCCATCTAAAGGATTAGTGCAATTGATTTTTCCTAGAAACGTAAATTTTTTGGATCCATTTATTCTTTTTTAGCTAAATTTTGAGATTTTTTAATTATTATACTTTTTAAAACATTCATAACTCACAATTAATCATCATTGTCTTTATGTTTTACTCTTAGAGAGTTCTATAATAAAAAACCTTTTTGAATTATGAGTGACTACAATTTTTATACGTGTAAATGTATATAGCCTTAATGTTGTCCAGATAAAATTCTTTTGCAAGCACGATAAAACCTCAAGGATTTTAGATCACATATGCTAAATGTATAATTTGGGGGGGTAGCGAAATCACACAGGGAAATAAGGTAGTTTGATTGAAGAGATAAATTTTTTTGGGTTAGTTCTTGGATTCTGGGGATCAATCGAACAAATTATGGAGATTATAGCATTTTTATAGTTTTGGGAAATCACTTTGTTTTGGGTTTGGTCTGAAGTGTTTTTAGGTCTTTTTTAGTTTAAATTTTAATTTCCAAGGTTGATGTATTTTTTGTTAGGTTGGGTTGCTGGGATTTTCTATTGATTTTTGGTTGTGGGATTTTCTTGTTTGAAATCTGGGTTTTTTTGGGATTTTTGAGGTTTTTTAGGTAATTTTTTGGTTTCCTTGAATTTTTTATTGAATCTTTGAATTTCTCGGTAAGCTCACAGTAGCCAGAAGATTTCCATTATGGCCAGGTTTTAGAGGCCATGGCCATTTTCTAGGTTCATCCAAGTTTTTGAGAAAGTTTGAAGATTCCCACACCGAAATCTAGAAAAGTTGGCCATTGTTCTTCTGTCATCTAAAGAGAAGGCATAAAGAAACCAACCTAAAGAAA